GTTCAAAGTGAAATCAACATTGTTGTAAGCACAAATATTTAAATATCTCTAATTTAAACCGAAATAATCCACAAGAAAAATCCGACACAGTTTGAAAAAAAAAACACTTCACGTATTGAATGTGCCCTACAGGCACAGAAGCCAGCAGACGTCTACCGGTTGTAGCCGCCACTGTCTCACGCCCGTGGCAAAAATCACCGCCATCATTCCCAATGCATCGCCGATACGGCTTTACGTTGGTACGCGCGGTAATGACGGTTCCGCCGGGTAATTGCACACACCGCTAATGGGAGTTATACCCACTCTCTCTGCAGTGTCAACTCTAGTTTTCTACACCAGGCCTATTACACGAACATGTTTGTTTACTTGTGAAAGTATGTCTGTTTGAAAAATGTGTGTACCACGCCTAAGTGTTCTAGATAGCAAAGCAATTAGTTGTTTTTTTTATATTGGTTATTTTTTTTAAAGATTCTGAATACCAATAGCATGGCATTAGCCCCCCCCCCCCCCCAAGTGATTAACAGTTTTAGTATATGTACATGTCAAGTTAAATATTTGCAGTAACATCATAATTTATTATTTATGCCGGTTGTCAAAATGCAGATCCTTAAAATTATTTAAGTTATTTTAAAAATGCAAAATAAATTTGATACTTAATTATCTCGTTAGAAAAATTTCAATATAAAAACCCTTAACTTTATAAAAACGACTACATCGTTAGTTAATAACGAGCAAATATTAATGCATCTCCTTTCCCTTTAAATAACAAAATATTTTAAAATTACAAGAACAATGTGTGTGTGTACTTTAGAGCATTCTCAATAGACAACTTTAAGACGTTTTTCATAATTTTGATACGTAACAATAAGATTAGTTTATTAGCGTGTTCTTAAATAAACAAAAAACAAAGTATTTTTCATCAAATGTTGAAATTATGACAGTGATGTCGTTAAAAAAATTCCCGGATCAACGATTTCCATTAGTCACCGCACGAGTGAGGTAACCGTTTCATTAACACGTCGGCATACGTGGCAGCACCAGTATGGATCATTTTATTTTTTATTCGCTTTCCTATTTTTGTATGAGCTAAATCTGATAGTTAATTTTAACACTTTACCTCTTCAAAGTCAACTAAATTAAGAATCTACGTGGACATCTTGAGTATCACATTATATTGATAGAATGTGTGTTATTGTTGTTTGAGTTTTATAGTACAAAAATCTATCCTTAGAAATGGAGAAAATTTTCTATTTAGAACACAATTCTTTTATGATTCGATCCTAAATTTATCATTATTCAAGTTAAAAAAATACAAAAGGAGACACTGTGTGTGTGTGGGGGGGGGGGGGGGGGGGGGTGGGGGGGGGGGGAGAGATTGTAAGATGTATGTCTTGCCAAAAAGACGTTTTGTCTGAAGATCTTGAAAATTCTGCACGGAATCATAAAAAAAAAGAGTGATAAAAAAAATTAGAGAATTTAAATATCAGATTTTTTTTTATGGCCACGACACTGAAGGAACGGGAACGGACGATGCTCAAAAGTCAAGTTCTTTGATAAACTAATTCGAAGTTTTCAAACTCGCTGGGCAGAACATGGGATCCAGTGTAGGGGTTTCAAGAATTTTCACGCCCAGTTGACAGCTTTAAAACGAGCGAGATAAAAAACGTGTTCTTGGACTTTTTTTTTAAAAGTCGGTTCTATTTATAACGATTTTAAATCTGAACCAACGGTTTTCGAAGTGGTAGGGTCTGATTAGTGCTGTGGGAGGCGCGGGCTTGGGATGGCGCAACGGGTTTCTCATAAATGTTTCATCTATATAAATAAATAAAAATATACAGCTATAAATAAATATCTGTTTTTAAAATGTTTTGCTAAAGGAGACACCGTTACAACTTGTGCGTTGTATCCCCTATCCTTTGTTTCTTGATTTTGCAATTGTTCTAGCAAGAACGGTGTGCTCATTTGAAGTTGGGATTAATGAGTGTTGAGATTATGCTAATAACTATAATCAATAAGATTCATATTATATATATATATATATATATATATATATATATATATATATATATATATATATATATATATATATATATATATATACAGGTTGTTTTTTCAAGTGAGACGCAGAGATAAAATATCTGGGGGAAAAAATGACTAATGTTCGTGATGTTTGTAATGGAAATCCGAATAAAATCAGTGGTATAATGGGGAGGAGAAGAGATTGGATACAAAATACAGAAGATTATAGCTGGTTAGTAGGTGCAATGAAATAAAACTATGAACTTGACAGACACGGCATGATATTTATAGCCCCCCCCCCCCAAGTCAATATTAGCATATAGTGGGTCAGCATGTCAAAATACGTCATGCGGCGGGTCAGCATTTCAAGATGCGATATGTAGCGGGCAGCATCTTTAAACATGTCATGTAGTAGGTCACCACGCCAAGACACGTCATGTAATGGGTCACCTGTGCAGTCATACAGTGGGTCACCATCTCTAAACACGTCAAGTTGGTGACTTAAAATTGCCGAGACAATAAGAAAAAAAATCTAAATGCTCTTTGTTAGAAAACGACCCAAAAGGCCGGCAATAAACATTTACTTTAATGAGATAGTGAAAAACAAGATCGTAATGTGCTAATGTAGTGCTATCACGTATCTCAATTTTCCATCCCTTCTTCACAATTATCCTCTACCAAACCCCCACTCTCCATCCGGCTAACGCCCTGATGATTGTTGTGTTATGTCAGAAAACTATCAGCGAGGAAAGAAGATACTTGAAAATAAACTCCCTTTGACATTCCACTCCACTCTATTAACTAGATAAAATGAAAGCGGCAACGAAGACACTCCGAAGGAAAGGCCAACGTCGAGATTAAGGATACGAGAAATGCGTAAGAAATGAATAAGTGGTGTGATTTTTCTTTGTCTTTTCTAGTTAATTGGCTCGATAGGGTGTATCTTCACAAGTCGTTAACCATTGTTAACAGTCAAGCACAAAACAATACTAGATATATTAAAGATGGGAGAAACCGATATACGTGTAATCTTGGTGTTGAGACAAGTCAACATAATCATAGACACAAAGGAAAATGTTACAGGCTTGTGAAACAGATACACCTAGATCTGATGTACAGGCAGGTGAAACATATACACCTAGATCTGATTTACAGGCAGGTGAAACAGATACATCTATATCTGTTGTACACAGGTGAAACAGATACACCTATATCTGATGTACAGGCATGTGAAACATATACACCTAGATCTGATTTACAGGCAGGTGAAACAGATACATCTATATCTGTTGTACACAGGTGAAACAGATACACCTATATCTGATGTGCAGATAGGTGAAACATATACACCTATATCTGATTTACAGGCAGGTGAAACAGATACACCTATATCTGTTGTACACAGGTGAAACAGATACACCTATATCTGATGTACAGGCAGGTGAAACATATACACCTAGATCTGATTTACAGGCAGGTGAAACAGATCCACCTATATCTGTTGTACACAGGTGAAACAGACACACCTATATCTGATGTGCAGACAGGTGAAACAGATACACCTAAATCTGATGTACAGGCAGGTGAAACAGATACACCTAAATCTGATGTACAGGCAGGTGAAACAGATACACCTAGATCTGATGTACTGGCAGGTGAAACAGGTACATAGAACAGAGAAGACAGCCGATACACATTATAGAACCGACGAACAGACAAGTGAAACATGCACACAAAATAAACGCATATACAAGTAAAACAAAGCACGTATTACAGAAAGAGGTGAAGCATCTAGATTGACACATAACGATGGTATCTAGATTAGTGCTATTTTACACTTCTACCGAAAGTAATTTAAGTTACTGAAATATTTATATTGAGATGTAAGCATTAACAATACAATGCTTATCCCCTCTCTTTTTAACCAAAACGCCTAGGTAAACTAAACTAAGGCCAATGCTACAAATCCCAATTTCCGGAGAACTTTGGCAATCCATACACGTCCGCTTAGCTTCGAGGTAATGATTTGTCTTTCCTTCTATTTGTATCAACATCACATCTCAAGAGTGGGAGGATGTGTGTGGGGAAGGGGTGGGGGGTTACAACAAGACTATGTGGGGAAAGGGGGGGGGGGGGGGTTTACAACAAGACTATGTGGGGAAGGGGGAGAGGTTACAACAAGACTCCATGTGTGTGTGGAAGAATGGGGGGGGGGGGGTGTTTACAACAAGACTCCATATATCAGATAATTTCTTATGGGTGAAGGAGCATATAACAATGCGGTGTTTCAAAGCACTCAAACATCCATCCCCCGAGGGAGAAATATTGATTAGGATACTCCTTCAACAAATAACATTTGAAAGCACATTTTTTTTATGTAGGAGGAGGAGGTGTGTTTAAGGTGGCTTATTCTGGAAATAACATCGGACTCAGGGAGCGTATTATGTAAAAGCCGGGTTGCTGTTTTATTTTAAAAACCTTTTCTGGGAGGTCAAGTCGACATGAAGACTAGAACGCGTTTATTGGTCGTTATTTTAATACCGCGTTTACACTTGCGACATGTATACTATACATTTCTAGGGAAAAAAACCTCGCTATAGGGCCTAAGATAATAGGGGAGCCTACTAACTTATTGCGAAGTTGTTTTTTTTTCGAGACGTGTATAGTATACATGTCGCAAGTGTAAACGCGGTATAAGGAGAAAGATATCGTTATTGAAACTTGGAATACCAAATAAGTAGTAACGTTAATTGCTGCTCAAGTGCATTCAACTCCTTGAAATTAAATTGCGAACTTTTAAAGTCTTAAGTAAATCAAAACATAAGAAACAATTTCATCACCAAAAACCTGCGGAAGAAAATGAAAAAATGGCTGCATCCCGCTATACTAGCCTAAATCACGTTTGCAAACTAAAAAAAAAAAAAAAAAAAACAGAACTCTCAACACAAAACCAAAGCAAACCGCTGGATTTTACGACATACCTGCTAACACGGTCGCCATGGCTGACCCATTCCCAGCCGGCGAAGTGGCGGGGCTACCTATTACAACAGAGCCGTCAAATTAAGCTGTTACATAATCCCTACTACCAATTAAACTATTCACACCAAAGGAAAATGTCATCATTTAAAAAATGTAACTTATCAGTCTAAAAATATATATAACTTTGTTGTACTAATAATTTGAAACTGAAACAATAAAAAAAAATAATACAAAAAATTGCTTTTTAAGTAAGACAATATTAAATAAGTGTATCATGTAGCTCTAGTTTTTAAAAAATAAAACAAATATAGTAACCAGATAACATAATTATATTTTAATAGATTTTATTTATTTGAATTTTGATTTCAGAAATACATTTAAAAACTATAAAAACTGCGATTTTCGGTGTCGTATTAATTTACACAGAAATCTGTTGTCAATTTGTTTGTTTTTTCTTCTTTTTTTTCTTTTTTTTTCCTTTTTTAAGAATTTTTTTAAAAATTATTCATTAAAATATCATTTACTTAATTAAAATGAAAATTGCGACTTTCTTTATTTATTAAAATCAAAATTCCGACTTTATTTAGTTATTAAAATGAAAATTGCGACTTTATTTATTAAAATGAAAATTGCGACTTTATTGATTAGTGTAACTGTCTCTAAAGCAGGCACACAGCACACGGTGTTCACATAAAAAAACACCACATAGAGTGTCGGTCAAACAGAATGATGCCACTACAAGCTAACTCTAAAGTTGCTAAAGTGCTTTAAAACACTGCCAGAAGCACAGGCCGACGCCAAGATAACATAACAGAGAACTTCTACGTATAATTTTTGAACAGATTACAAAATAAATTAATCGAGAATCGTGTATCAGGAAAGGGAATAAAGTGGTCTAATAAAAAACAAAAAAGACCCAATTGTAACGAGGGTTTCATAGATAGTCATAGTTACATAGTATCAAGTAACAAAAGATATTTGGTTACGAAGCGTCTGAAGTTTTAAAAAAAAGGAGGGGGGGGGGGGACTTACAAGTGAGTAAAATAAGGACGTCATTATGTGGTATATTTGATAGAACATAATCGAATTTTGTAATTGACTCGTAGCTTGGACAATCAGATGATTTGAAATCTAAATCCTAAATTGCTATCCGTCGCCATAATTGGAGCATTTTATTTCAGCGATTACAGCCTACGTCTGTTAGATATCCCCAACACTTCGTTAAGTTTGCCCAGCCTACAAAGCGTGTACAGCTGTCCATGTAATTGTGTACAAACTGCCAGGCTAACTGAATGTGTACAAGATCGATTAAACTTGATTTCCCCCGCCCACCCACTGCCCTCCCCCATCATCTGACGATGTTCCGCTACTGCGCAACCAAGAATTTCCAAACCAGACCGAGGCTCAACGCGATCTGATGCTAGCTAGGCCTATGAAGAACAGTGCAGATTTTTTTTTTTACCGGGGGATTAAACAGATGGAGCCACTCAGTTACGTGACACTAAACACGCGCTAAGGATGAAACATTTTTCATTCGTTTTTTTTTTTTTTTTTGTAAATCTTAATAAAAAAATTAAAGTTTGAAAAAAATGCATATTTTAATTAAAATGTTACTCCTATTTAAGTTAGAAACCTTGGTATTTTGTCCAGCAGTTTAAAAAAAAATTACATTAAATTATATCTAAATTCGGCCTGTAGGTACAACAAACCAAAAAACGGCTCTACAGTTTTCATAGCTTATCAAACGAAATAAGCCTACTCTAAAACTCAGGACTTGAGGTATGTAAAAGTTTTGTATTTCAAATGTGGGATTGTCCAAAGTGGGCTACAACCAGTTAATTAAATTACTGAAAGATGAGTTAATGTAATTAATTATTTGGAACAACAGATTCTCTTATCAGAATAAACAGCGCATTAGTGTTCTGATTTGTTCTGTTTGTTTTGTGTTTGTTTTTTATGTAATGAAATACGAGGTTTTAAATTTATAACTGACATTTATGTTTATAAAAGTAATTGATCTAAATATTAAACAGCCTGGAAACATAAGCGTGATTTGCAATATTTTTCTTTAAAAAAAAATCTGAAGCCTAATAACATACAAATCCTGAATGTATCAAAGATGTGGGATTGGCTTAGTGTAAAATTGGAGCAAGGAAATGGAACCAAATCGATTTGCTAATAGGTAGATATAAAATATTTCTCAACATTGTATTTGAAAATTGCTCTCTGTAGTGTAGACACGTTGAAAGTTAACCCAAGTTAAAGGACGTCCTGGTTGGGTTGGTGGACATTCAGTGTGGGTTGGAGGACAACCCATGGAGGGTTGGAGGACAACCCATGGATGGTTGAAGGACAACCTGCCTGTGGTATTCAACTTATTCTTGAGATGCACAGCAACTTTATATACAACATGTTATGTATGTTATAATAACTTACAAGAAGAAAATTATATTTACTTAAATACTATATTCTTTAAAAAAACAAAAAACTAAAACTTTGTTTCTTTTTAAAAGAATAATTCAATCAAGTAAATGAAAAGAGAAAACTAACCACTACACCTCTAAGGATCACTATTAAAAACTTAGTCAAAACAATTTAGTTTGCATAAGGCTCATTAGCGAAATGTAGTACTGTAATGATTACCAATTACCACTTCCCAAAGATGACCCTTAATATACTGTGGCATGCCCTTACCAAATACATTAATACCCTGGCATAACTCTTAATACCAACATAATCATTTTAAAATATTACAATAATTAACAGAATAACAATTAGTATTATTTAAAGGTCATATTCTGCTCAACTGAAATAGGCTAAAACTTGAAATTTAAAAAAATCAACCACATCATACGACATATCTGCTTGTATGTAAAGAAGTCTATCAGCCAAATTTACCCAAAGATGTATTTCTATAAAAGTATCTCTATGTAATATTTTAAAAACTCTTTAAAAATTTCTTGCCATGTAAGAGCTTACCAAGATTAGATCAAGCAATGCATTTGACATTATTTGTGTTAATTGGAAACCTTATGTTATGCATGGTGCTGATTATTGCAGGTTATATGAATTCACTACTAGGGTATAGTTGTGGATAGAAGCAAATATTACAGAAAAAGAATTGTTAATTTAATTTATAATGATTTGTGTGTTATGAGAAGCAACTTATTTTTTTAAAAGCGAAGGTAATTTTTAAAAATGGAAAATTCATTTAATATCAAATTAAATTACAAAAAATGAAAAAGAAAAGAGATAAAATTGTCAAATTAAGTCTAATTCATGTAAAAAAAAAATTACATTAAAATTTTATTTATAGAAGAAAAATAGATCAGCATACTCAAGTGACATTTTAAAAAATTTATTAAATTGAAATCATAATTTTGAAAATTATATTTTATAAAACAGCGTGCTTCACTTGAGCATTTAATGATATAAAATTAATGATAAATAAGAAAGCAGAAAATTGTCGAAACAACAAAAAAATATTCAAGGCGTCTAGGACCCCCTTCACTTACCCTTGTTGACTGCACACAGTGGCGAAACAGATACAGCCACAGGAGCAAGTGGAATAAGAAAGAGAAAAGACAGGGCAGAGATGTTAGCTCACATGTTGCTATTTAATCACCGTTATGGTAAGTACAAGCTTCTCAGCTGACAACTTACATCCATCCAGATGCCATAATGTAATACCAAAACATACATATTATGAACATAACAACATATACGTTACTATTAAACTCACAACAAATTATGTACAACTAATACTCTACAGTTCAAGCAAAACTATGGCCACATATTATTTCACAGTTGGATATGAAAGCACATTAGAGTGTTGCAAGAGTGCAGGCTAGTAACAACCTCCATGTTGGTGACCTAAAAAACTGCCATACAAATTAAAAACTAGAAATGGCCATAGCTGGAGACTAAACAATGTGATGACAATAAGAATAACTCCTCTTAGACTACATTCAAAAATTTCTAATAAATTGTAGCAATTTTTTAAAAAATCTCATTATCTTTAGTTTCAAATGTAAATACAATCCAATATTTATAAATAAATAAAATATTTAAAAAATATTTTCAGTTTTCACTTTCTAATTGAAATAAGAGGAGATATGTACACAATAACTTGCTCTGGGCTAACACAAATAAAAGAAAATTTAATTTAAGGGTTACATTTTGGGAAATATACTTTCCTACAGCTTTGTTTAATATTTTCTTTACAAAAAAAAAATGATTAAAAAATTGGTACAGATCTCTGAAATTCTTAAAAGAATACCAAGAATGGAACCCTCACACATTGAATCACATCTTGAACATAACAAATATACTCCCATGAATTCAAACAAGTTTTTGGCTTAAAACAAACATGTTGACATGTCCTATGCATTTCCATTTGAAATTCCTTTTTTTTTAAAATATGAACGTTTTTTTTTTATATAAGAAATCATTTTCCAAACATGTTTACTAACACCAATACCTAGATTTTTCCAATAAAGGAGAATTAACAAAAAAGGAAGGACCCAATGAAATGATCCATGGGAGATGATTTCTTTTCTTTTTTTTTATATCTCACCTATTTTGTTGAGGCTGGATCCATTACTATTTGAGAATCCTAGTTAAAATATTTTTTGTAGTAAGTAATTTAAAAGTAAACCACAAACAATTTTTTTTATTAGAAATGGAATTGCAGTTTTGTTTTCTGCATATGAATTTAGAATCTAAATCATCAAACTAAAAAAAAAAATCAAATGAAAAGTTTTAACACCAAAATAATAATCTACATTGAATCCACCCATCAAACAGTGCATTTGATGTCCACGAAAATTAATAAACTCCTTAAATTGAGAAATTATATCATTAATAAAAAAATTAATTTTCTACTAAGGAGAAAGTTATAAACTATGTTTAAATATAACCATTTGTATTAGAAGGAAACTACTATAGTAGAACCTACTAAAACATACAGATTACAACATGAATAAATAATTGAGAAATGCCAAACCAAGTTGTAAATGCTATTAGAATCAACATTTTCCGGTAAAATGGAGAGTTTTATAGTTAAATTAATATCATTATCTACTTTAATAATCTCAAATTATAAGAATTTAATCGCGTTTTTTAAAAAGTAGACTAACAAGGCCAAGTTCAATAACCTAGTGATTTTTTTTAAAAAAAACATGAATTGTCTCTTGCAAAAATTATGTATTCGGAGGATATCCCAATAGAAACATTTCAACACATGTTAGACTAAACTACTGGTCAGGCTCTGTAGAATCATTCATCATGACTAACTACAAAGTAAATTTTCTAAAGAAAAAGCATTGTTCAGGCATTATGCAACTAAAAAATTATCACTTAATAAAATAAAAAATTTTAATCAACAAAAAATATTCATAAACTTCAAAATTATAAAATTATTGAAAGTTTAAATGTTTAGATGCAAAATCTTTCATATCTACATTAATGTTTAAACTCTGTTTTTTTTTCACAGCAGTTAGCTTGGTATCGTCTATTTAAAACAGATTCTGATTATATTCGACTGTATCTAACAATATTTTAAATTATTATTTTTATTTTATGTTATAAATTAATTACAATTGTAAAGTATATTTCCCATTGCTTTTTGTATTTAGATATAACAAAAACAACTCAAAGTGAAAAATGTATATATACTTGAAGAAAAAAAAGAAAAAATCAGATAAACTAAGTTCAGACTAATTTGTCAAATGTCAGCTATTGTTTTGAAATTATGCTCTTCAACAGCACTATTTTGTAATAATCAATAACACAGTAATTTGTTTTCTCAAGGAATAACAAATACATTTTAATATGAGGAATTATTAGACGGAGAAATATTTTATACAAAAGTATATATATATATGTATATATACATAAGTATTGTGTATTGAGCTACAGTAAATATTTCCTGGCAATGTTTAAACAGATCTCAAAAATGCGAAAGCACAACAACTGTTATGTGTGCGCAGCTGGACAAGCTCCGTGGGGTAACACCACATTGAGGACAGTTGTTGTCAGGACAAACTGATATCCATCCAAAAACCTCTCTCTGTTTACTTATAATCAAAGCCCAGCAGATCACACAAGATACTGAAGGAACCATTATGAATAGGAAAATAAAACAGCACCACTGAAGCTGCAGTGTGTGGTGCAAATGCAACGCCATATGTCACACCAGAGATATTTTGTTGTTACAGGAAGAAGAAAAAATATGTGTGTAGTTATAAGGGTACATTACTCTGCAGAATCCACTTACACCTGTAACTTACCATAACCCCTTATAGCTAAGAGTGTAAAATGTGTTATTTGATTATCAATTTTGACTTTGACAATCAGCCCCTCTCGTTATTTTAAGATTTATAAATATTTTTTTCACGATATAGATTTTTAAAAAATAATACACTACTTTCAAATGTTACACGTAAAGAATAAAAACTATCACGGTGCCTGTAATAAATCAAATACATAAAACCAATTGCAACATAAATGCATCAAATAAATACACAAATAACAAAATCAAACCAAATCTCTCATCTCAAAAAACAAAGCCAAGTTAAAATTTTCAAAACACAAAAAGAAAAATTATTATAGTAAAATTTGGAAAAGAAAAAATAAAACACCTAAAAGTTGAACACTTTGTACAATTGAAAGATCCTACCTAAATGTAATGCACTAGATATAATTACTTTTAAAATGATAAAGACAACATGTTCACATATGACAGATTTACTCTTGATTATGAAAAAAAAAGAACTTTAGTACTTACTTGAGAAATTTCTTGTAGCAAGCATTGTTGTCAATATTGCTCCCTAAAAAAATAAAATACTGCTGTATTTTTTGCTTAACTCAAAATGTTGGTTTTTGTATTTTGAACAGCTATGACTTAGCAATAACTATTCAAAATAGCAATGAGGTTAACAAATGTTTACATGAAAAGAAAATACAGGAGTAATCTTAATTTCAGTTGTTAAATATTTAGCACAAAATCTATCACTTATAGGTAAATTGTGGCTTTTGTTTTAATAGCTTCACTATAAATAGAAGACATGATATAGTTAGGTCAGAGATAAAATACATAATATTTTACTGGAAAGAGACTGAAGGCAGAGGTTCGTGTAGGCTTAATTCTTTATATATCTTTTGGTGTTACTTATATTAATTTTTAAAATTTTGGACCATTGAATATTTTATAATAAATAGTTATTTCAGGTTATTTTTTGCTGTATTTTTTATTTTATTTTTGCAAACAAAGCTGTTTCTGTTTGCTCCTAGTGCTTTACTTTTTCCCCTGAATTCTAGTTTTTTAAATTTATTTCCCAAGGGGGAAGATATTTTTATATCAAAAGGTGCATCACTAATTTTAGGCACTAAGCACAAAATTATAAAAGTAATTTCTTCCATAAAGGTTAAAATTTCTTTCATAAAGGTTAAGTAATTTCTTTCATAAAGGTTTGACACAAATTTAAAATTGGGTTATATATATGTAAATTTCAAAGAAAGGGTGGTAACTGCTTAAAATAAATTTTACTTCCAACAAAAATAATTTCTCTAAAAAATTGAGTTACTTCCCCTATATGGGTAGTCGGAAAGACGATTTAATTTTTGTATGGCAATATTATGAGATTTAGATTCAAATTGAGAAAAAGAGCAAATAATTTTATATTTTCTTTTGCATTCAGTTTATTACTGAACCTATGGCAACTGTAATAAATAACTTTATTTATTCAGAGTAAACGTTTTGTAAATATTCACTTACCTTGAGTTTTCTTCTTGCATTGAACTTCTTCAAGCAATCTACTGTTTCCTGCCTGTGAACAACAGACGCAACACGCTCTCTCTGCTGTAAGAAACAAAAGAAGTTAAGTAACATAATAATTTATCAATCCATAGCTAATCACTTAATTATTTTTAAAATTGGAAATTTTGCTACAGTTACTTTTTAACTAGATTTATTTGTTTTTGAGAAGTTTATTATTTTTTAACTGCAAACACTTATATAATTTTTGCATGTTTTTGGACTAAAAAAAGTTTTGGAGCAAAAACGTACACATATCCAGGGGTGTTTGAGAGCCTCTGAAGCATTGATTCTCTTGGCAGGGTTGACAGTCAACATACTGTTGATCAGGTTTTTGGCCTCGGGAGTTACTGTGTCCCATTCCGGAGACGGGTACTGAGGGGAAAAAACAGGATGTTAATGTTAAAAGATTGGGGAGGAAAAATCTAGAGAAAGCAAACATTGTTCTAAACATACAAGATTGTAGTTAAACATCTAAAGGATCAACAAAATAATTGAAGATCCATTTCTATGGCCCATCTTGATCTGATTAAGTTTTAAAAATTTGATAAAAAGTGTATTAATTTTTTTTCTAAAATTTAAACTATATTTACATTTAGATTTACAAGAATAAAAATGAAGATTTAACAACAAATAATGAAAAATGTAAGAAGACTCACATCATATGCCCCTGCTTTGATCTGTGCATACAATCTATGTTGGTCTTCATCCCAAAAGGGGGGATAACCAACCAGCAGAATGTACAACACAACCCCTAAAAGTAGAAGAGAATAAATGTTGAGTATAAGTTAGATTAAAATAATACATTCATTGTTTAAACAAAAACCTCTATACACTCGACCAGGTAAAAAGGAATAACTTTGTTTCCATCAAGTGTCAATGAATTTATTAAAGCAGGGGTCTCCAAACTATGGCACGCGGGCCGGATGCGGCCCGCGTAGTCCTCTCATCCGGCCCGCGGAGATCTTTTTGTCCAAGGAAAAATCGTTTGTTAGTGATGGCTGAGGAACTTTGCCCAGAAAAATCAAAGACATGTCTGGAAGAAATTACCCCCGAACTGTAATTTGATAGTTAATGCGGCCCTCGGACTGAAAAGTTTGGAGACCCCTGTAATAAAGATATCTCAGGTTTTTTTCAAAATTAAGAAACACTTTTGAAATAAATGTTCTTAAATGTGGACTTAATGTATAAATAGATATCGCTTAAACTGCAATAACATAAAGATAGGGAGAGATATATGTAAAATGCATCCTCATATTTTAAAGCTAACATGGTTAACATTTGTAGTATGCCCAGCTCTGATGGGTATCTAATTCATGTTAGGGAAACTAAGGCATAGTGCTGACCACACCCCTAGTATGCCAAATAAATTAAAACAAATGAACTCTCCTTCATCTGTCCCATGTGTCTTGGGCACGAATGGTAAAAGATGATGGTGGTCAACAGCTAAAACAAAAAAATCTAATTTACCACAAGCCCAGATGTCTACAGGTTTCCCATAGGGATCTTTCCGTAGCACCTCGGGTGAAAGATATCCAGGTGTACCAGCAAAACCTGCACAATTAAAGAAAAAAAATTATTGACAGAAATCTTTTTGTTAAATAATTTTCAGTTAATGCATTGATGATATTTATGTTCCTCCATATTTTAATAAAAATTGTATCTACTATCTAATTAACAATTAAAAATCCCCAAAGATAATTTCAGTATTCATAACTTGTTTTATAAGGCTAAATGAAATTTTTTCTAAATATTTCTAAAACATTACATTCATTTTTAAAGCTACCACTGACATTTTCCACATTATCAACTACCCTAAGTATTAAAAGTAAAAATTGAATTGAAAATGAATGCCAAAGGAAAATAATCTCGTATTTTCTATTACTCATATTTAATTTTTTATATTCTACATTTTATTAAATTAGCGGAACAATCTTCAACAAAATTTTGGAACAAGATGTGATTTTGTGTAACAATAGAATTTGGTGAGAAAGTAGCCATGTCTGAATAGTAAAACAAATTGCCTTATGGTTATCTAGTTGCCTCCCTTATAACAAAGATAAATATAGATGTAAAGTGAATCAATAGTAAGGATAGTTTATTTTCACTTTAGTTTTACTTAAATTTTATATCATAATTTAACCAAATTTTTAAAATAACAAATACTGACATATTAACAATAACATGGTTGTAGGTTGAATCTACATGCCTAGCTATTTTTCATACTAAAATAGGGACAGCATTAGGATGTAAAAACCTATATTACAGTGCTGGAGCGTATATAACATTTTATGAGCCTATCGTCTGGATACATAGTGATTAAAATTTTGGAAGGGTCAAGTTATAAACCTACCAAACCATGCTTGCTGCTCTCCCTGTACTTCGATAGCTAATCCAAAATCTGCTAACTTCACTGCCGCGCCCTTGGCTTTGCTTGCTAAAAGGAGGTTCTCCGGCTGTGAATGTAAGTAAACTCTTTAGAAAACATCAAAGCTATTTTTAGCAAAGCTACTCATTTAATTAAAAACTTAGATAAATTTTAAAAAACGTACTCACTAATTAAATACACATTTAATTTAATTTTGAGTTTAACGGGAGACTTTAAAAGACGAGCAGAAAGTCATAATTTCATTAAGTAATTAAAAGACATAAAATTTTGTAGTTGAGGTTGATTTTGTAAACACATGTTAAATTATAAATGGTTGAATACATAACTCTAACTAAAGATGCACTAAAACTATAAACATTTAATTTGGGCATGCTGTTAGACTGGTAAATATGCAGGCACTAAGCATGGCATGCTTCAAGCATCATTTTATATATACAAATAAATCTGTGTGAGTGTGTGTGTACGTGTATATATATATATATATATATATATATATATATATATATATATATATATATATATATATATATATATAAACTTATCAATGTTGTATGGTCTTTTTAGCCCATAACACTTGTAACAAATACAATGGTGTTTAAAGTTTAAAGAAGATCCTGAAGTGGTATGTAAGGGAGAAGTATTTTTGTGTGAATAAACATCTACAAGTATATTATACAAAACACCACACAATTCAGCAGTTGAATGCACCCAATCCGTACATAAAATTCACCACACAAAAAAACAACGTATTTCCTTTTTTTCGTATTTTTTTAGACCTGTCGAGATGGAGGGACAGTGAAGGTGGGGAAACAGGTTTGAATCAAGCAGACCACAGCCCTTACTAGTTCTGTAAACAGAATGTTCCAGCATTCATTATCTATCGATTTTTACATCACACCATTATATAAGTTGACAGATGATTTATAGAAAACTTTTTTATTCAAAGACATTGACTAGTTTGGTCTCCACAGCAGTAATTAATTATTTTTTTTTACATTGCCTAAAAAGTGTAGGAGAAAATATCTTCAAAGGATCGTTTTGTTTAGCTAACTATCCGATATGTCATTTGTCATGATCACCACGAGTAATGAATTCTCTCCCCGCTAGCTGCGGTTTGTTTTCACGCAAGTTTGCTCCAATCAACATCCGAGGCATATGGCGAGTCAAAGATCACCAACATGACGAGGGAAGAATGTGTCAGCAAATTATGAAGAACGATGGGAAAACGTCACTGGCCTGCGTGTTTATGGAGGCTTTTTATTATTTACTTTCTGTAAAATTACTGGCTCATTTAATTGCTAATTAATAGCGTTTATCATTTGGAAACGATGCATGAAAGCGACACGGACAAATTGGAGGTATTGAATACAACTAGGCATATTATAAACTATCGATTAATCTAAATCAATAATCCTTGCAGGCTGTGGGATAAAATACGAATGTTTTATTCATTCGAACATTAAAACCGTGTTGTATCCAAACATAAAGGTCAGCACCCAAGTGGTATTTTACTGACGTTTTTTTTTTAATGTGTTTACGATTTACTCGCTAAGCCCGAGAGAACACGCGCGCGCATAATTTAAACTACACATTCGGTGATGAACATTGTTTCATGTTTCATAATTAATTTTAAAACGCGGACGAACATCGGAGTCGAAATATTGATTCATCTTAATTTAAGCATAGAAATATCATGCAAGGGACGCAAAGAAACAATGTAACAGATCGAATTGCACAACCTAGCCTGCGGAGAAACAATGTTGAACAACCTCCGGACGAAGTAGGAACGGAAATGCCTGCCATTGCCTCGTGTAACGAGGAACACGAGAGCTGGCGCTCATCGATAGCGCCTGTATTTTGTGTAACAAAAATGCTACTTTTTTCATTGAGAATTGTAACAAAAATGATACTTTTATCATTGAGAATTGTAACAAAAATGCTACTTTTATCATTCAGTATTGTAAGGATGCTTATAATCGTGATTAGAAACCCGAAGCAACCTGTTGACCCCAAGTTTGAGACATTTGGACATAACACTTTGTTGTTGGCGGCTTATCAAATGGACTTGTAAAATTAGCCTAATGATAATGATCAAGTATAATGATCAGGAAAAAAAATTGTAATGCATACATAAAATAAAAATAATGTAACAACGATAGTTAGATAGGTCATTGAAATAGTAATCGTTATGATAATGGGTGAAAATGGATACTATAAAAAAAATACGTGTGAAATTAATCCATAATTTTGTTGTTTACTTTCCAATATTTTTTATGGCCTTTACACATTTTGTTTTATGAAAGTCCGCAAGAACAATAAAATCTATATTCTGCGAATGTTCGTGTATTTTTGCGTGACAGCCGCTGAATGCGGGGAGAGTGTTTGTGGGGTATTAATAATTGATTGACCGGAACCTGACATCGATACTGACACTACTGAAAAATGGGTTACATTTCTTCTCAAAAGCTGGGTTACATTTCTTTTCGTGAACAGGACTGGTGGAACAGAAAGATTTTACTGCAAACACCCAAACGAGAAGCTGTTAAGCTCCGAATAATAGGGACTAGAAGAAAACTTGCACCCCACTCAAACGATCCTCGCACTTCAACCCGCACTTTTTTTCCTAATTTTCCATTGCCGACACCTTTCTAACAGAAAAACACTGGCAACTAAAGAACGTTATTATTTCCGTATTTTATTTCCACGCGCGACGTTGTGTTCAGATCGGATTGTACCAAAAATAAACGTTATCGAACATACGAGGCAACTGCCTCCGCCCTCCCTCCCATATGTCGCTTTTGCGCCCTCGAAACTTGCTCGTTTTTTTTTTCCTTAACCCGTTCCTTCAATTATTTCTCGCTTGCTCTATACTCTGAAAATGGCTTTCTGTTTGAAAACGAAAAAATACGCTGTATTTTTCCCGTTTCCAGACTTTACTAAGTTTAGACCTTCTGGCTTCCAACTTCAATGAGTGAGTGTTTAAATTTAGGAGTAAAATAAACCTACGAAACTATGACGGGAACACACTAAATTACAGTTAATCAGTCGACCTAGAAGTCGTCAGTCGACCTTGAGGTTGTCAGTCGACCTTGAGGTTGTCAGTCGACCCAAAGGTCAATTAATTTAAAAAGTAAAGATCCCTTTCCAAACCTGACGGTCTATGGGGCAAGGGAATTATAGTTCCGGGTTTCTTGGACCTCAGCATATGAAGGGATAGTGTGGTCAGCACTATGGCCAGCCCATTAATGTACGTTAACAAAAAAAAAAGGTTCCTTTTTTACTCTGGTCTGCACGAAGCCAAAGCTTTATTTTGCTTTTAATCGCGACAGCCCATCTATAAAGCAAAAACCATTCTAAAGTGAACAACGACGGTCTTGTACTAGACACAGCTAAAACTTCATTCCGTACAGACATAAATTTCAAAGTTCGTCCCACGTCTTCTTTGCCCACTAATCCTCTAGGGTCACTTATCTTTAAACAATAGATTATTCCCCTCGTCTTTGATGGCATTTGCCCGTGGATTAACTTCCCCTGACGCGAGGAAGGCTCAAGAACAGTAACTCACGCTAGTCATCTGTGTGTACCACTGAATGCGGATCAAACTTGGAATACTGTGTTTCTATGTGTCTTTTTTAAATTAAAAACAAGATTTTTTTACAACAGCGGGGATAAATTTATCCCAACAAAGATGTCTCAAATTACAATTATCCTTCGTTAAAGCTAGCGCCATTCTTCAAAGGTTGAAGTAGAATATTTTATTTTTTTAAAAATGTTATCTAAGTCTATATAAAAAAAATGATGGAAAGGTGTTTTTTTTTTCAACCACTTCCGTGTTGACAATTCATTCACATATTCATTTCGCCCAACACCTATTTTTTTTTAAAGTAACACCACGTTGAAATAACGTATACAATTATAATCATAATACAGTAAGTTTTAGTGCTGTAATTGTTTCGTAATCATGCATTGATTTATAAAGCAAGACCAAGGAAGTACTCTACAGACAAACCATGCATTCCTAAAAGCGCAAAAAAAAAAATAATAATATATTAATACAAACGTAATTATTGCCAAGCATTTTGTGAAGACAAACTTTACGAGCTGGGAGAGAACAGTTATGCTGGGTTTTTTTTAATACAACTGTAAACGACAATTTTTGTGTGGTGGTTGTCATTATATATATATATATATATATATATATATATATATATATATATATATATATATATATATATATATATACATTTATATATATATATATATATATACATTTATATATATATATGTATGTATGTATGTATGTATACATGTGTGTATGCATATATGTGTGTGTATATCAAAGAGGAACGTAGTGAAGACATAGAAAACAATGTTTCTCCTCTCTCCCTCTGTGATCATCTGCCGTGTACGTACCTTCAGATCGCGGTGCACGATTCCATGTTGGTGGCAATAGTTAACACTCTCTAATATCTGCTGCATGCAGTGACTGAAAAATAGCAGACATAGAGCGGTTGAACAAAAAAAGCGGCTAAGGCACAGAGTGTTGTTGTTTTTTTAACAGGCACGGTACAGTCTGGTTACTGTGACAACGTTTATGACGAGTTGGGGAGTCGCTTTGCTAATGAAAAGCTTTTAAAGGTTTAGACACGAGCGCATTGGCGAGGGTGGTTTACTTTTTGAGCAACATCAACAAAAGAGAATGAATGATTGTTTTTATAAAAGCCTGTTCTCAATAAAGACCTTATATATGAATGCGATGAACAACTTTAGTTTACAAAGGTGTGTCTAAATATATAAAAGCACCTTTACACAAAAAATGATAAAGATTTTTAAAAACCTAGTGGTAAACATATACTTTTTCTTCACAAGAGATCTAGTTTTAAGAAATGTTCAACTTAAACTTTTTTGAGTAAATTCCTGTAAGGGGGACCTAGATTAGAGGCTAGACATTTGAATTTTAAGTCGAACTATCAACGTGTGTGCTAGTGAGGACTGAAAAAGAAAGTCCTAATTTAGTTATTGAGTTCGGATTGTATTGAACAACTCAATCCAGAGTCCTTTGTTGAAGAGGAAACCGTTGAAAAGTCTGAAGAAGCCGGCAGAGGAATTTATACGTGGTATACATTGTGACATGGGGCAGTGAAGTCATTTTGGATTAACCTAATTTGCTTTGTTTTTTTTTATTCATTTTTGTATCTTTACTTCAAAGATGAGATTAAATCAGCTTTGTTACACTTTACAAATGTATAAAATGGCTGGGTGTTCTTGGTTGACTTGCTTCACATAATGTATAGCACTGTTGTTATATTGGGAATGATTTGTCAAATCACATATACAAACTTTCTTATGTGTGTTTTGTGTTTTTAGATCAATCAGTGGTGTGAAGTGGCAATGTTATGTGATGCCACAAACTATTTTCGACCGGTTTCAGTGAATGGTTACATCACAAAACCCGAAGCCTACGTGACCACGTATTACTCGAGAAATATACCCCTCAGCTGTGTGCTCGGCGAATTAGCAAGAGCTTAGGCGGCTCGCGATAGGCAAACATTTAGTAATGACACCCCATTGATCCGGCATACCGGTTTAATTGTATCTAACGAGAGACCGTGTTTGCCGGTAGTTTTCTGAAACATTTAACCGGGTGCGGCACCACAGTGTGTGCTCTCAAAGGATGAAAACATTTTACATGAAAACTTGTTTCCATTCGTTTTGTTTTTTAATCTCACCAACTAGGAGTCCATTCAATGAATGTAGAGAGACGTGTCTTAAATAGTTTATTTTCACCTTCTACTAGAATACCTTTCTCGTTTAATGTTTTCTACAACTGTAATTTGTACTCGTCTGTCTGCATTTTTATTTATTTTAAAATAGAGGGGAGTTAAACAGTTAAAGTCGCCAAATTTTGAAAACGCCAACACGGGTTACCCTCCCTTTTAGTACGAGTGCCACGAGACTACACGAGGTTCTCGTTAATTTTAAGTAGCACGTGCCTGGGACTGCCCCCCTCGCTCACCGCTAACACCTAGTTAACACCTGCGCCGGGGCCATGACACCTCCATACCCCCACAACATTGTTGCAGACACATCCCTCTAGGAATGTTGCGTACGCGGCACACTTCAGCACAGACTGATACAAAGCCGGGTAGCAGTAAAAAATCGAACTGCACTCCGCCGACGTTAGCGCGATAGCCTCAAACCAGAACGCGATAATGGCGGCATTAACTATGATCACACTTTTAGAACTACTGACGTGAGATTTCACCAACTTCGTTGTCCTGCGCGAGTTATTTTAAGGACGGAGAGAAGGAAAAAAAAAACACCTTATAACAAGCGCACATAACCGTCTCCCGACGCTTCAAGTTATTTCCCTTCACAAAAAAAAATCGAACTTTGTCACATTCTCGTCGAGTCGTTGTAAAACTGGCCAGGACTGGATTATTAAAAACTGACAGAAAGGATAATCCGTGCCAAAAACAGCAGACGGAAAAGTTTAATTTCAATGTCCCGAGTCAAATTACAATCGACAAGGGATAATTGGCGCCTACAATTTTCGTCTATTATTAAGCCAGTTTTCTTGATTTAATGGCTCTCTCTTCATTATTTCCAGCCATTACAAGCAGGAAAAGAGATAAACAACGTGGGACAAATTAAAAGAACTAAAAAAAGTGTATGTAGGCTAATTAATAATAAAGATTTACAAGTATGAAGATTTTTTTTCACGTTTCTATTATTTTATATCTGAGACAAGAATAGAACGTTGTGTGTAAGTGGACTTCGCAGAAAAAAACGAACTTAAACAGCTAGATTTCGGTATTACTAAAACAGGGACCACTTTGGTTATTTCAAACTTTACACACCTAATTTTATAAAACAAACTAGTGCTATCAAATGTAAAACGATAATTTACAGGTGTATAATTCAAACGGCTATTATTTGCTTGGACTCAAAACGGATGCTAGCAATTGCATACTACAAAATATTCTACTAATAATGTGCATGCCGAATTGGGATTAAACTGTTCCTTCTTTTTATGAGACTTTATGACACATATATGGGCGTATCCAATACATAACATTATGTATTTTATTACATCGCAATGCTTACGCACTCTGTTGCGTAATCGAGTTTTCTAATTTCAATGTGTAAATGGAAAAGTAGACAGACGTACGCAGTAGATATGGCGGCTGTTTTTTAAACGGTGTACTTGATCTACAATACTTAACATTTCGCATTTTATTACATCGCAATACTTCAGTGTACTCTATTACGTAATCGAGTTATCTAATTTCAATGTACAATGGACGTTACAAATGGAAATGTATACGAACGTACGCTATAGATATAGCGGCTCTATGTTAGACTATCTACTTTACAATTTTCGGACTTTTTTAATTGTACCTGGCTTAAGTAAGTTGTTAGTTGGTGTTACAACATTTACTTGATACATGTATTTGTGAACACAAGCAAAAGTTGGCTAGTATGCTGGTTGCGATTATTTTGATTAATCATGAATTACAACTCAGTAAGTTAACAACATCAAGATAGACTTGCAGCCCAGCCCGTATCATGTTAAGTCTACAATAGTAATGAAATAGTAATGAAAGAAAAAAAAACAGATCAGCCAACGTTGATGAAGATGCAGTCATGACAGTGTAAATAAGAAGCGTAGCCGGGTTTTTATACTGCTACAAACTGGATGAAAAATATCTAAACAAAAACAGCCGCGGGCTAAACAAGTTGTACCAAGCAATGCCTCGTTGGGTACGAAAACAAAAACAAAACAAAGTTACCCCCCACATCACATAACTAGATGCGTGTGGGGGTTTAGGGGGGGGGGGGGAGTAGTTATAACATTGACCTCTTGACCTCCAACAGACCTTCATATCCCTGTGGATGATGTTATGCTGGTGGCAACTATTTATGCCTTCGAGCACCTGTTGAATGCAGCGGCTGAGAGCCGTAGGATGGAGAGAGAGAGAAAATATGCAAGGTAACAGTTGAATTAGCGGATCAATGTCTGGCTATATTTTCCTTCAATTTGCTAGGCCACCATTGGCTAAGTACATCCCAACCAACGTAGCCACTATTTCGAGTAATGAAACAATATAATTTTTTTTGCTTTCGAACTGGATGGGGGTCATCCATTTATGACGTCCACACACACGGGGGGGGGGGGGGGTGTTGTCCGAAAAAAAGACTTTTGCGGACGCGTAAGGACTTTTATAAGGGAAATATGTGGATTTTTGTGGATGGGGGGGGGGGGGAAAGGTCCAAAATCCAAAAAAAATTGTGGACGTCATAAATGGATGACCCCATACTCCCCTCTAGAAATACATATTCACAGTATTCTAAGTTACATAATACATAATATGCATATTAAAATTATATTACAATAACTCCTTTCATTCTAAAATGTTTGAGAGCCATCAATCCAAATACTGATATTAAACTTGGTGGCTAGCGGGCTAATCGCAAAAGGTTTTATATGTGCCAATTATAAATACGAGAAATTTTAGAGTTATCCTCCCACTTCTTCTCAAGACCTCTAATCCGGCCCCATCTATAAAGGGAACTAACCCTTCTTTTCGTGCCAACCAATAAATCAAAGGGAATATTGTGACTTTGGCTGGCCACACAAGTTTCTTTTTCCTACTGATTAGTTCGGGGGTAGTCTTGTTTCTTTTTAAGGGTTTAAAAAAATCCTTTTGGTTGTCGTTGTGTGGGATAAAAATAGAACGCGGGATAAAATCAACACTGCGTTGTTTACTGCTTGACAAAGATTATGGGACTTTGTTCTGAGGGGGAGGGTAATGGGACTTAGTTCGGTGGGGAGGAAGAGGGAAACGGGGCTGTGGGGAGGGAGAGGGGAATTTACTACGCCTCAAATTTTCATCATCGAGCACAACAAAAAAAAGCTATTCAAAAGGCAAGTTAATATTTCATTTTCGTTGAAAGGGAAATCATTTCTTAAAGCTAAGTGAAAATTGAGTTTTTAGTAAAAGTACTTTTAAAAAATAACGTTTTTAAATAACCTATAACTATTTGATTTAACATCACACATAACATAGATCAATATAAAGTAATAAATTAACTTTATTTTGTAAAATACAGTCACTTAATTAAACCAACATGGCAACTATTTTAATAAGGATTGTAGTTCTACACTAACACTAACTAGTTACGCTGATATCTAAAACGGTTTTTAAAGATTGAGAAAATCCTAAATAAAAAATTTCAAATTTGATTACGAAAATTTCTCCTTTGTTTATTTGATACACAAAATTTCAAATCTGTTTTTAAATGTACCTGAACTGAAACTATTGTATTGTGTTCTTAATGGTTACACACAGACAACCCGATGTTATCTGTTGTGTAGCTGTTTGTCTGTTTGCCAGTAACCCAAATTTTACCTTGGTTAACAGTAATCAGGTGAGATTAAACATTGTGTTTTACCTGGCGTCTGCTTCGCTATAAAATTCTCTGGCCACTATATCTTCAAACAGTTCACCACCGGTCACTCTGGTAAGACAAAAACAACTCCAATTAATTTTAGTGAAACAAAAAGAAAAATATTAACATTGAAAAAAAAATGTTAAAGTTGGGATTTTTTTCTCCCATTAGTAGGTTAAGTCATAAATAATAAATTAGCTTGATTACTGTGTCTTATGCACTGTTTGATTTAACGTCAGTCTAAGGATAGCCTACAGTTGAAACACTACTATGAAATTACTAAGCAATTTAAACAGTATGGTCCATAGCCGTAATTATAATGAAACGCAATAGACTACATTAAACCCAGGTAACTGTATGGGATTTAAGAGCCTTGTTTTAGATTTTAAACCTTAGCAATAACATAAATGGAAGATTTTAATGAACGTAGTTTCAATGTACCACGGTCAGTTAGGCACAGGTTGATTTCATCTGTCCATTGAAGGGTACATCAAAGTATTGAGTGTCCAGCATTGGGAGACTGATGGCAAAGCCAATGTGAAATGTTGTGGGAGAGATCTACGTGAGAATGTATCTATGGCTAAATCATGCAGCTTTTGTTTGGGGATGGATGGGAGTACTTTAACAGTCAGGTATCGAATGTAACAGGTGAGTAACGGGTGTGATAATCAGATAATATAGGTGACATGTACCTTGTATGACATGTATCTAATGAAACAGGTAAGTTACTTATGTGACATGTAACTAACGAAACAGGTAAGTAACGTGTTTAACTAAGGAAAAGGTAACTTAAGTGACAGGTAACTAATGTAATAGGTAAGTTACTTATATGACAGGTAAATAAGGTAACAGGTTAATACAGGTTAATGTGGGAGGTAACTGATGTAACAGGTATGTATATTAAGTGACTCTCAGGTAAGTAATGTCACAGGCGGCTAAGGAGTATAGCATACTATAAACATTTCCATTCAAGTATATTCTTGCCTATCACTATACAAATTGAAAAAAATGTACTTACAAATCAAAGACAAGATAATGAAATCCTTCATCTTGTATACTATCGTGCAACCGAACTGTAAAATAAAATAAACAAAATGTAAGCCCAGATATGAGTAATTTCATTGTATCACAATATAAAATATGAATAAGTGGTTATAAAAATGTTTATAATTTTTCAGAAGTGTGTTTATACATGTTTGTTATGTTGAGAGAAATTGGCTTATGTTTCTTGGGGATAATACGGATTAAGAAAGCATCAATTCAAAGGGATAGCTGAAATAATAATCTGTTTTGTCTTTTTTTTTTTTTTTTTTTGTGCTTTCAAGAGGGTGTTTTTTTAACACACAAAAAAACCTTCGATTTCGTTAACTAAGGCTGTTGATGTTTTGGGCCGAAATAAAGGCTATGCGTGTTTATATAATAACACATGTATCGTTGGATTCGCAACATAAACGACGACTAGTCCCAAACAATAAAAAAAAAACAACAGCCGCGTAGCGAGAGGCGGTGTATCTACCAATTACGAAACAACACAAACGTCCAATTATCCCCACAATTGTTACTTTCCTCTTGCTCAGGCGGTTACGAGCTGTGTACGAGGGCTCATCCATAACAAGTGCAATAAAGGTATGGGATTTTTTTTTACTCGTTTATCGATTGTGCTTTTGGGATCGTTCCGTTATTTTCTACGGTCTACAGCGCAGAATCTGCGGCTAATGGTAGTCATCGGAGACGCTGGGAATATCGGCACTACATAATAATATTAATAAACTGTATTACAGATGTAAAAATATTTTTTTTTATTGGGGCACAAGTATATATTCGACAATTGGGTAAAATATGAAACTTTGATTTTTCCAAGAACAAAACAAAATAGTAACAACACATTTAACATTAGATAAATAACTCTTTTAAACAAAATATTTTATTATGTTGTTATTTGAAAGATGTATTAAAAAACAATACTTTAAATAAAACCTAATTCGTTGATTCAGGCAGTTTGTAATACAAATGTTCTCACATTCTATAAGGACTAGGAGTGATCTGAATACAAAACTCAACAACCACCGTCACAAGAGATGGTGAGGGTGGAATGTAGATCAAATGGTGGAACATGTAGGCAAGTAAATGGGTCACATTATCCCAGAACAAAACAAAGGCTTCTGGTCCAACATACTGGACGGCTAATGAATAAATAGTGGAGCTAAACAAAACTTAAGTATTGACCCACTTGAGGGAGGTGGGGGGGGGGAGGAACAAAATGTTTTTTCTTATTTAATTATAAACCAGTCTCAATTATTACGAATCGTTCGATCAACTATGGTGAGTTATACAGAGGTTTCTGGTCAACTTATGGTTTTGTAGGGTCCTGCCCTGATATATCCCTATCGTTAGTACAACTATGGTGAAGGTTTCTGGTCAACTGTTAGGTTTTGTGGGGTCCTGCCCTGATATATCCCTACGACAACCACCACGACGTCTCAAGTCAACCTACACAAGAGCCCGGCCACTATATTACACGGACAGAACACGATGACACAAGATATTATCTTTAAGAGCCCCCAGATCATCCGGCAAGACGTGACGGCCCCAATACGACAGACCTCTGTCCGACAAGAGATGGCAATTACGCACCGCGCCGAGCTCGGGGCGAACAGACAAATGAACATTCTCTATCCGACCTTAGCAGCTTGATTGACAGCCTTAGATTGCCCTAATCCAGTTCTAAGAAACTCCTAAAAAAAAAAATTCCATGCAGGCTTACAGGACTGGCCCTCATTTTCGTTCACTCCCTTATCAGCGTGGGTTAAGTGAACACGAGTTTTGTACAGGAGTCCCGGCATGCTTCACTCCGTCATGGCGGCGTACGGGGCATATTGAAAATCTATACATGTTTGACTAGGGATGGAAGCGAAACGAAAAAATAATGAGGCAGAAAAGATAATAAATTAATAGCGCAACCGTCCGGGGAGAAATCGATAGACGGCGCTGATTGGGGACATGATTTACTCGGCTTTTGATCGGGAGGAAACGGAACGGAAAAGATACATGTCTAGATAAAGGGCGGGTGTATTTAATTTTTTTTCTATTGCAGGGATAACTACAGTCAAGGTATCAAAAGATCAAAATTGAGACCACAATCTACAGAGGCCACTATCTACAGACCCTCGGAGAGACCACCACCTTAACACCACGAACTAAAACCATCACAGACCACAATCTAAAGAGCACAATCTAAAGACCATTAAAGACTGACGACCATTTAAAGACCACCATCTTTAGACCACTATCTTAACACCATCAGAAAAAGACCACTATATATACCATCTTAGAAAGACCACCGCTTATAGGTATTCTAGGACTGACCACCATTAAAGGACCACTATGTTAGAACCATGACAGAGAGACCACAAACTAAAACAACACCATAGAGATATATTTAGACAACCATCTAAATGCCCATTTGTCTTTACAAGAACCCTTTGGACAATAATGTCCAGATGTCGTCAGGTTAGTCCAGAACGTTTACATGTTCTCGAACGCTGGTGTTCTCACACCCTCCTAATTACTGCCAGTCGGCCCCTGTGTCACACGACCACTCCATTTTCCTTAAGAGGAAGCGAGAAACAAAGTTATGGCGGAGTCGCGTGATGTTTGGGAGACTTGAAGACTGCGAAAATCACGTCGACGACAGCGATTCTCTCACAGAAAGACATTTTTCTTGCACATGGCTAATTTTTTTTGTTCTATTATTTGATCATCTGGTGTTTGTTTTCATTATATAAAAAATATGGAATTTTTTTCATGTGTCTTGAGAGTTGTAAATCTAAATCAGTGCTGAAGCGAAGAACGTGTCCGAATGTCTCATAATGCAGAAGGATACTACGGTGTTTAAGCAACATAACACCAACCTTTTTTATAATCACATGGCTCGAAAAATCTACATGTTCGGTCACGGACAGATGACCATGTGAAAATTACTGGCCATCAACTTAATAAAGATAAACTGACCGTAATAGGAATGTAATTTGTGTAATTTGGTCAGCAATTTTAACGAACTGATCAAATGAAGATTGTTGTGTGTCCAACAAAAAGGGTTATAAAAAATGCAGCAGGACTAGATGCATTTGAACTGTGTGCTCTTTTAGCTGTTTGAAGCCTAATATCATTTATTTGATGTAAGTGCTTTAAGTTAGCTGAAGAACAGAAGATGCAAAAATCGCTTGGAATACATAATGTTGAGTACAGAAACTAACTTTATTTAAACAATACTATAAAGCTTGTAGAAGGTGTGGATAAAAATCAACAAAAAGGAAAACACAAGAGCGTGATGTAACCTTATCAGATGATTGAATCAGAGGCGGCGCTGTCCGTTAATCAATCCGTACAGCTTCCAACGGCGCAGTTAAATAGTTGAAACAACGGGAGAACGGACCATACTTTTTTTTACACACATCCGTTCACAAGACGGGAGGCATAAAACTGCGCACAAGTCTGTCGAGTGTGTATCTCTTTAAGAGCAGTTACTATGGTGATACAGTGAAACATTGGTCAAAACATCACAAGTTTTTCGCATTACTCCGTGTAATTTTTATCAGTGAAGTCTTATCATTTACCTGTGTATTTCTTACCTCAGTGAGAAGATATATAGATATTTAGTTTTTCAAAGAAATATTATCACTTAATGTTGTCTGAATATAAATGGTCCGGTGCACTAAAATGACATCGTTTACCCCGCACAAATTGCACTCCTCGCATACTTCCCCCCCCCCCCCACCATCACACACACACCCCACCCCACACTTAATCATAGACACCTGACACACTGGCACCAACACTTAAAGAAAATTCGGCTGCCATAGATTAAGAGATGACGTTCAGCTGACAACACATTTAAACCATCTGACAACTGATAAGCTAATAGCCACCCAGCAACCTCTACTCAATGGATCTGAATCTACTCACACTAAAAGACTGTCCTTAAACGGGAAACTAACAGCCATAATACAGCCTACAGCTATGAAAGAAGACAAGCACGAAAGAGAAACACAAAACGATCTGTACTGAAAAAAAGTGTTCAGTGATTTCTTTTGTCTTACATTGACATTGTTTCCTATTGGGTTTGTGTGTTTCTATATATTTTAACATACCACACAGCTCCACAGTCCATCTCACATATTATCTATCACTTTCATCTATTTTAACCATTATCATGTCATCCATCCCACTTCCTGGTTTTTAAAATAAACCTCTTTGTCTATAACTCTTCTCTTTCTCTATATCCATTTTTCAATCGGCTCTCTTTTAAACCGTCCTTTCTCTCTATCTTTTTGTTCTCTTGTTTAATTGTTCTTTTTTTTCTTTTGTTCGCTTTTTGATTGTTCTTTCTCTCTATCTCTCGTTCACTATTCTCTCTTTTAAATTGTTCTTTCTCTCATTCCCTCCTCTCCTATTTTAAATTGTTCTTTTTATCTATCCCTCTTTCACTCTGTTCACTTTTAATTTGTTCTCTCTCTCTCTATGCTCCTTTTTAAACTGTTCTCTCTCTCTCTCTCTCTCTCTCTCTTTCTCTCTCTCTCTCTCTCTCTCTCTCTCTCTCTCTCTCTCTTTCACTCTTCTCCCTTTTAAATTGTTCATTCTGTCCATCCTTCTTTCTCTTCTCTCTTTTAAACTGTTCTTTCTCTCTCTCTCTCTCTCTCTCTTCCACTCTTCTCCCTTTTAAATTGTTCATTCTCTCCATCCTTCTTTCTCTCTTCTCTCTTTTAAATTGTTCTTTCTCTCTATCTCTCTTTCACTCTGTTCCTCTTTTAACTTGTTCTTTCTCTCCATCCCTCCCTTTTAACTTGTTCTTTCTCTCCATCCTCTTACGCTCTCCTCCCTGTTGTACCGACAGTGGCAACCAACTCGGGTACCTCACCCAACGAGCATCAAATCGATTTCTCCATCACCGGGAGCTGCGAGTGATCACATCACCACGGGCGCAAGCGAACACACACACACTAAAGGGATTCTGGGAATGTATCTTAACGTCGCGTCTTTCCGGTTGTACAGATGTGTATCTTTTAACTTCACT